AGCGCGCAGCGCGCAGCGCGCAGCGCGCGCAGCAGCATTAGCCTGCTAAGCACGCACTTAGGCGACGCTTAGCAACATCATCAAGTCAAATCCCCTCCCTAAGAATTTCATGAGGAAAAATACAAGGATAAAGGTTGGGTGTGCAAGTGGGGTGATGAATCACCTATGTGCTTGCACACACGGCGCCTCACGCACGCACGGGCGATGACTAAGCCCGTGCATGCTTGCCACCTCGGCCGTGACTAAGCTAAAGGACGTCCCACCTCAGCACACGTGTAGAACACTTGGCATTAGGGGGAGAGTGCATCATCTTTCACCCCTTTGACTCCAAACTTGCCTCGGTTTTACTTCTTTACATAACCAAACATATGGAGCGTTTTTCCTCATACAATTTCACGTGAGTTCAGCCATTTTTAGTGTACCAGAACAGATAGAAAACAGTAAGGAAATAATAGTAGAAAAATTACACAAAAATAGCTAAGGAAGGTGAAAGCACAAGGGAAGCAAGCACGCACACGTTTAAGCATTACTTCCGCACGCAAGTCATCGTGCAATCTTCGACCGAACTGAAGGGTATACCCCTAATTACCTTCTATTTATATAGTTAAGCTCATTGTAGGGAGATCATGTCGATGTCAAGTCGTTCGGTCCAAGTTCTTTTAGTAAAATGGCCTTGGAGGTGCTATTTAAGCCCTCCCGAGTGATTTCAGTTTTTAACCGGCAAGTCTCGAACGTTTATTGCATAATTGTGTTATGTAAGTCAAAACATGATTAGTCATATGTGGACTGCTGGAGAAAGTAGCCGGACGGCCGGCGAAATGCCGACCGTGATGCCTACCGCACGCGGTGTGCGCACAGGCACGTCCGGCAGGCCAGCGAGTACGCAGGCAGCGTCCGCGCGCCCAGTACCGCGCACGCGTGCCCTGTACTCGACAACCAAGCGTCGCGATGCCGCAGTTATGCGCGTAGTCGTGCACAGTGCACGCCAATACGCTAGGCAACTCATGACCGTGTCCATCCGTGTACATAGCAACGCGTCGCACGCCAGCAGCGTGTCCCGAAACGCATGTACTCGCGCCAGCAGCGTACCACGCATACTGGCCAGTTACCCCGCACACTAGCACGCCCAGCAGCGTGCCAGCGATGCACAGTAGGCCTCGGCGTCGCCCGACAGCACGTCCGAGTGCCCAATCAGCCCCGCACGCATAGCCAACGTGCCAGTCGCCTACCCACGGCGCCCAGCAGCGCCCGGTAGCCCAAGTACGCGCCAGTACCGTTGCCAGCATGCACGGTAGTGGCCAGTCGCCCTCAGCAAGTGCCCAGTCGTCACTGGCCGTGCACAGCAGCACGCCAGCGACCGTGATGAAGGATCGGATGTTCGTGTTCTCGTCTTGTCTCGATCACGGCTTCGCCACGGCCTTGCTCTCGACGATAGGTGTGATCGACTCGGTTATTAGCCTAACTCTCTCACGATACTTGAGTTCACTCGGGTATTAGCCTCGCTACACTCTCGAAATAGATCGGGTCTTAGCCTCTCTAAATCGTTGAACTGGTTCGGGTCATAGCCTCACCAATTCGATTTGTATGATCGAATCTCACGACTCTCAACACACGGTTTCGAACAAACGTTCTTTTCTATTCCATTCCAAGACTCCCTTAAAACAATGGGGGATGACCCCTATTTATAGATCTTAACTATGAATAAGTCTAATCTACCTAGGAAACTAATTAAAGCAATAAAATATTAAATAACCTATACATTCTAGATATTATTGTGCAAGAAGGTAACTAAATATCTAAAGTCCTAAATTGACTAGATCTTGATTTTTCTTGGCTTGCACTCCAAACAAATCCAAACTCATGCCCAAACATTCGGCCGCCTCACTCTTCACGTGTCGCACGCGTTGCGCACGCCGCCTCGCACTCCTCGTCGCGCGCGGACACTTGCGTCGTGTCCCGCACGCCAGCGCCCGCCGACCCCGTCTCGCCTAATCCTTCCGCGCATAGGCTTTGCGCGTCCGTCGCCCAATCGCGCGCCAATGCGCGCGCCCAGCTGCCGTCGCCTGCCTCTTGCGCGTGTGCTTCCCCGCACGCGTCTCCTAATCCTGCCCCGCCTAGGACATCCGCGCTTGTGCTGCAGTCGCGCGCTATCGCGCGCTTCACGTCGCCGCTGCCTTCCTCGCACGCGTGTGCGCCAACGCCCAAGCCCAAATCACCTACGGCGCACCTCACCACGTCTGCTCCTTCGCGCATCGCAGCCATCGCCCGCGGGCTCCGATTGTCTCCTGCGCATCCCCGTGCGCCCGCTGCGTCGCACGCCTCTCCCCTGCCAGCTGACCGCTCACCCGCGCGCCAACCGCGCCCCGGCGTTACACCCCCGAACGCCAACGCGTCCCAGTCGACGCCCGCGACTCGCCCGCCAACCGAACTCCCGCGTACGTCGTCTTGTTCCGTCCACCCGCGCGCATCATGGGCCGATGCGCGCCCTTCGCCCATTAGCCGATCGCCGTCGCCCTTTTCGCCGGCGATCGCCACCGTTGGTTCGGGCCATGGATCCCAACCATCCAACCTAGCACAACCCTCGGCCGGTATCCACCATCCTTTGTCAACCCATCGCAACCCACGTCTATTGCCCTCCTTCCTTCGGGCTCGTCTCTTCTTTGTACAAGGCTTACACCAACAACATGATTCCTTAGTCTTCGCCTTGCGTTTCCTTTGTGCTCGTTTGGTCTTGCGCTTCTTGATCTTCAATTTAGCCCGTGGACCACATCCTTTCGGCCAATCTCGTACGCATGATGGTCGATAAATCGGACTAGATGGCTCCTCAAACATGTTCTCCAACCAAATATCAAGCCCATCGTCCTCTTCCTCGTCAGACTCGCCGGGGTTGATGACCACTTCCGTATCATTCCCCTCCTCTTCAAGAATTTCTTTTTCCTCAAGGATTAGAAAGTTAAGCGCACCATCATCTCCATAGTCTAGAACTTCACCCAACATTGCTCCTTGCCCTTCCATGAGTTGTCGCTCGTAAGCTTCACGATTTCTTCGTTCATGGAGCTCGTCTAGATATGTGCTCTCCCATGGGG